TTCATGAGTAGATGGTTTCAGAAATCCGACATATATGCAATTTTCTTTTAATTTGATCTTGCTAACAAACAAAATTGACCTTCAACTTTATATATTAGTTGACTTGTAAAATAACCACATAAACTCATGATTCAAAGTCAAACTATTGTTTTCGAATTGTGATTTACCCGCGCTGCATCGCACGGGTACACCACTAGTATATATATATATATATATATATATATATATATATATATATAGCATTAGCAACCAACAACACAAACAGAATACCAACATCTCTCTTACTTTTCCAGGTATATTTGTTGAGCTACCATTTCTGATCCAAATATTATGAAACTTTTTTATAAAAACAATGTTACAACATGGCTGGGGAATTAAGCTAAGAAACGTATGAAGAGATCTTCACCATTAGGATGAGATGCATCGGATTAGGCGTCATTCATGGGTGGGTTTGAGTTTAAAGGGGATCAAGGTTCAAGATCCCTTGTTACGCTTTTAACTCTCCTTCTCACGTGATTCTTTCGCCTTTTACAACAACCATCAACCAACTTTCTCCGCTTTTTCCAGTTTTCTCCTTCCTCCAATCTTCAAACTTGCTGCTTCATCCTCATCCTCATCCTCATCAACATATATGATGCCTCCTGTATCATCATCATCTTCGTCTTCTTCATCACTGTTATCATTCATATCAGCACGAAGCGTGTGGAACTCTGGTGGCGGGGTGCATTCCTCCGTGATAGCCTCATCCTGTTTCATAACAAGGTGTCGTATGATTCTCTCGTCTTTATCTAGCATGCTCTTGAATTCATTGATCCATTTCGCTTCAATCTCAAAGTTCATCAAGATGTAATGTGCGTTTTTCGCTTTTTGTATCTTGTACGCTAGCCTTCGAAGACCCCAGTCGCTGAATCTATGAACTCTCCCCTTTTTCTCCGTTAAAAACTCTGCAAGCATAAGAGAATGCAACCATTACAAAGGCGTCATTAAAAGGGAAAATCCCGTGTCGGTTTTGATGCAGGAAGTACGTGTTTTGACTCTTAAAAGTCAAAAATGCAGACAGCTTTCATATACAAGTAGCTAAATATAGAAATTTGAGTAGCCAACGTCACCTTCAACTTTAAGGTTTACATTCTCGACTTCTTCTTCAAAGTTCTCATGGATTAGATAGACCACTTCGTAGTGACGATCTGCAAGGATAAGATAAGAACAAAGAAAATCAAGAAAACGCAACGTCAAGGATGCGGTAAGCAAAGCTAAAGTTAGTGAATTTGGATTCAACATAAAATGGTTGAGATGAAAGTTCTCATGGATACGTTAAAAAAAAGGTTACACCAGAATGACGTCCCGCCCAATTTAGAAGTGATCGTCAACATATTCTTTAAAATAAGTTCGAAAATTTATCAAATTGAACGGGAAATGGATGGGGGAGACAAAGACAAAGGGAGATCGACAAATACTACATAACAATATACGTATGGTCCATGTTTATTGAAAAAATCCTCTTTTTGGAAAGCTATTTCAAGTAGCATTACAACAAGCTCCAATTTTTTTCCCAAATTACGCCCTTGCATATTTTTCCAATTAACAGCTAGTTTATCATCCAACAACTAGCATGTCAGCTAGTTTGCCAAACATAGCCTTAGCCTAGCAGGTCAGATTCTCTAAACTAAAGAAAATAAAGGTTTTGTTCTCTATTTTGCTCCAATAGATTCTCTATATTATTCTATAACATAGAGAAAACCAGAGAAAACTCCAAGTTAAAAGAATTCTCTAAGATGTTGTTTGGTTCGCAGAATTCAAAGGAATTCAAAGAAATTGGAATGATCGATTCCCTTGACCAAATTCCAATTCCTTCGTTTGGTTCACATATTGAAATGGATGGAATCCTTTAAATTCCTTTAAATTCCACAATTTGATGAAGGAATTGAATTGTATTCCTTTGCATCCAATTTAACCCAACACCGCCCACCCCCTGCTCCACCACGACCATTCTACTATTGTCACAGCTACCACCCTCGCCCCCCACCCCCACCCTCGCCCCACCACCAATGGCCTGTTGTATTCGTAGCTTCAACCCCCACCTCCGCCCCTAACCCTGCGGCCACCATTAACCACCTATACCAAAGGCCACTACTGTCATCGTCACAGTTGCCACCCCCACCCTCCTCCCATACAAAGATGGAGATTCCGATTCCTTAGAGAGATTACATTCCAATTCCTACCAACCAAACGCGTGGTTAAATTCCATCAAATTTCATTCCAATTCCTCCAAAGTCAAATTTTCTTTGATGGATTCCATTCCACCAAATTCCATTATGCGAACTAAGTGCCCCCTACTTGATGGAAGGAGAAAGAAATGATTTTTTTGTTCATTCCTACCAATGAGATCGAATTATTATTATTTTATACAATTTTTTTAAAAAAGTGTATCGGGATGATAAAATTATAGAATATTTTAATAATATAATTAATATTGAGATCTCTAAAATAGAGAATATGTTGGCGCTGAATGCAATTTCTTTTAGAGATTTTGACTTTTGGTTCTCTATTTTGAAGAAATTATAAAGAATCTATTGGAGATGCTCTGAGGAGTTGGGCATCCTTGCATAATGACATTCCCCTACTATGAATTAATTGTGATGATATAACTTTGAGTGTCAAATGAACTGCTTTAAATTCCAAATTTGATGAGCATACATCTAATCGTAAAGAAAAACCAATAACTATGTCAAAAAGAAGTAGAGAACATACGTGAGTAATAAATACATATACCTATCGAACAACTGTTTAAAGTAGCCGTTCATGGTGAACAAAATTCAATAGAATCAATAAATTGTAACGATAACAATGGGTCGTCAAGTAACTTCAACTTCAAATATTGCAATTTTCACGAGACAAAAGAGGGATATAATAATAATATTATATATATATATATATATATATATATAGTACTAGTAATAAAGATTAAGAAGGAAAGAGAAGAGAAGGGATCATACTTTGTTCGGCATCCAAATCGCTTTCTAGCATAAGGTTTAGAGCTTCATAGAGGTCCTCTACAAGTAAAGAAACATTACAAATTAGTTTCTAAATTCACATCGTGTCGCCATGTAGCAAAGAATAACATGTAAAACGAGAAACTGAAAGTCAATATATGAATTCAAACCATCTTTGTGACTTACGTTCTTCGGCATCTGCAAATTCCGGAAGAAGTCTACCGTCTTCTTGAACTACTTTCTGCAATGCAAAATCAACTATAAGTTAATACCAGAAAAATTGAACCCAGAGGGATGAAACTTATTATATCGATCTTGATATGTATGGATCAATTACATTACATTAAAAAGAGAAAGAACCGAAAGAATGTAAGCATTTATTACTCATGAAGATAGCGGGATGCAAGGAACATTCTATTGCGGCGTACCCAAGAGAACGGTTCTATTGATTAGGTGTACAAATGCATCATACAAAGAAAACATACATTACATTCGGGAAAAAGAAATCATGTATTCTCAAAGAAGATTTTGTTATCAAACGGGCATATGATCATGTTAACCCCATCCCCAAGTAGGGGCTGGATTGGTGGTTTGAAGGCGTTTGAACAACCCAACCCAATGACTGCCCTTTTGAAAAACTCAACCCATTTGAAAGTGTAACTCAATCCAACTCAAACCATCCAGGTTGGGTTGGCTTGCGACTTGCGTTGGTCTAATTGAAACACTTAGCTCATATCATGTTAAAAACAAACTAAAACCAGTAATCAAAGATAATCCGATAAATCAACACCATATTGTCAAATGGCGTTTTTGTATAACCAAACAGAACTAACCCAGATGACGGGCTCTATCAATGAATCAAATTTTAAGTTGGCATTGAAAAACTAGGTTCGACATTGGAAATTAAAAGTTTTAGGCAACAACTACCGGCTTAATTGGGATAGCTTGCAATCACCTCACCTAATCTCCAATGGCCCTGAGGAGACTCGAACCAGTGACCACATGGGAGCAACCAAGGTCTTATGTCAATCCCAAATAGATCAAACTACATCATACAACCCTATTATCTTGGTTCACTCTTGCACTTGTATTCAGTTATTCTTTTGTACATTCATCTTGTTGTTCTTGTACATACCAATAAAAGATGATTACAGTGGCCCAACACTCTTTTGTTTTGCAAGAAAGTCCCATAATTGAATGGTTCATGTGAACTCTACTAATTGACTCGAACACAGGAGTAGTAACCTTACAAGTATTTCAACTAATCGAGCTTCAAGTTATCAGCTAAAAACACTAAAATGGTTCATGTGAACTCTCAATTTCTCAAAATGGTCATTCTTGGTTGAACCATATCTATCTCTAAAACACACACATTTCTACAGACTACCAACAGATCCTCAAGAACAATCATTCAATCAAAATTACTGCAATTCAGCAAAATCCCATCTAAAACAGCACATAGAATTGCAAGAAAAATAGCAAAACTAACAGCAAAAAAACCTGGAACACAAGAGAAATTGAAGAAGCAGAAAAGGGGGCTATAAATATAATACCTCTCTAAGCAAAACTGATTCAGGGAAAAGACCAGTGGTTTCATCTGGTTTGGCTACAAAGCTATGTCTATCTTCTTTCTTCTTGTTGGAATGATTAGTCTTCTTGGCGGCCATAACTAGTGATTTTCTGACGCTAAAAGGCAAAATCTGTGAAGAAAATGGGAAAGATGAAGAAAACCCATTTCTAAAGTTGTGGGTTTTCTCTAGAAATCCACCAATTGAAGAAGACGAAGAGGAGCATGATAGAACCAGGGACTCCATTGGGATTGAGCACAAGGTCTCAAGAAACCTTCTTGCTCCAAAGATAATGAAACGAACTGGAATTTATGAGATGATTTGTTCAAGTTTATGGGCCAAAAAGGGTTCTATCTTTTTCTTTTGAAATGTCGAGCTAAATGTATTGTCGGCCCACATTTTCGTTATCCTGGACCTGTACTAGAGGTGGCCAAAATTCGGTCCCGGGCCGGGCCTTAACCGGTCCCTACCGGGCCTAATTGCGACAAAAACCGGCGGTAACCGGTCCCAGTCCCGGTGATTTTCCTTGTAACCGGTCAAGGTTATTAGTAACCGGTTGTTCCAACCGGTCCCGGTCCCATAACCGGTCCCGACCGGGCCTATTCAAAAAAAAAAAAATGAATTTTTTTTAAATTTTTGGTTATTAATAAATTTTTAATATGTTATTAATATGTTTGTAATATGATATTTTGAATATGTTTTATTATAAATACATTTTACTATAAATACGTTTTGTTGTAAATATGTTTAAAAATACACAATAAAAATACGGTTTATTATATATATACGTTTCGTTGACTTTCGTTGACCGGGCCGGGGCCGGGCCGGGCCTATAACCGGTTACATAACCGGTCCCGGTCTTAACCGGTCCCGGTCCCAAAAAACGTCAAAAACCCTAACCGGATCATAACCGTTGGTCCCGGTCCCTCTCCGGTCCCGGTTCCGGTCCTCCGTCGGTTACGGGCCGGGCCGGGCCCATTTGGCCATCTCTAACCTGTACTATATTACATAGGTTCTGACAAAAATTCTTAAAAACAATTTTTTTTATGCATGAAGTATTGTATATTGATGCATATATAAAATTCAAGATTACAAGTAAATTATGTATAAATACAACTTATTAAAATTTTATGTTTGAATTCGTGTAACTAACTGCGGATAAACATAATCAAATAGAAGATAAACATCTTGATTTTTTTGTTTGTGTGGCTTTAATGAGGTGATGTAGATGTTACATCATTTTGATGACTTAATTAAAATAAAAATAAAAACCTATTTCAAATTATTATTAGTAATTATCATTTTTCATTGCTATGATTTAAACAAACATTTAATTTTTTTTGACTTTTTATTGTTAAGTTGCATGCAAATTAATTATTCTAGAGTAAAATATTTCTTAAATAAATATGCTACATTTTTTCTAGATATATTTGTTTGTAAAAAAGGGAACACTTCTTATTTTATGTTATTCAAAAAAATACATATTTTTTAAAGTTCTATAGAAAGTTTTACCTTTAAATAGGAGGGAGGTAAAACGAGAATATTTTTCCTAGGTTTCTATTGGCTCTTGCATTAGTGCGTTGAGAGAGGGAGGATTTCTGGTTCATTTTTCTGTTATTGTAATTACCATTATTGAAAATTAAATATATTTATCATTTAATACTAAATATTTACATACATACATATATATATATATATATATATATATACATATATATATATATATATATTTATACACACTATATACATATACTTAACAAAAAATTAATCGGGATCAGATTTGGGGCGGATAATGTCATGCCGCTTCCGTATGAAAATAGACCCCCGTCCCGTCCTCCTTCCGATGTAAAAATTTCCATGTCAAGGTAAGAGAGAGGAGATGACGAGAAGGGAATAACCTGCAGTTTGAAAAGGGAATACATTCTCAATAAACTTAACATGTCGTGAAATGAGTGAATTATGTGGGAGTGTAACCAAGGAATAAACAAGGTTTAGACCTTGGTCGGAATTTGTGAGATGTATATGGTTGTAACCAAGGATTAATAGGGACAACCGAAAACTGAGCTTTAGAGAGTTTGGACTTTCTCAAATGGTGTTAGAAATTTCAGAATCGGTGTGGTCATTTGGTTGATGAGAAACACAACATTTTAAAATGCCACGGACCAGAAACGAGGATGTAAGACATGTCTCAACAATATGATGATGTTTTTCGTTCGACCGACCCAACTAATTCTGGTGTTGAATACCAAATTACAACATTCAAATTAACAGTCGTTTTATACGTTACCACCTCAATTCCAGATAACGTTTTGTGTAAACTCTTTGTAGAACATTGGCTACTAGTCTGTCTTACGTTTGATTCGACTAGTACACAGCAAGACAAGTATATTAAAATGACAATATTACCCCTCATTAAATAAAATTTTCAAGTAGTACTAGTAGTAGTAGTATATAAGTAGTTGTCATCTCAGTTGGCAAACGTTGACAAAGCTATTTAACCTTTGGGTTTTGTGCTCTTCCCATTAACAACTACATTACCAACCGACCAACCACTCAAATTAATATTTCTTACCTTTCTTCTTTCTTTTGCTGCTACTTCCATTACCATTACCATTACCATTACCATTACCATTGCCATTGGCATTGCCATTGGCATTAGCATTACTGGTTTTATTTCCGGGCCATGTCGGCATATCTGAACCATTGGCTGCAAAATTGTCAAACGTACCGGCTTGAACAGCATTCTGTAACCACTCCATGAATTCCTCTTCTGTCATGTTCTCATCCATATTTGGCATCCCACCACCACCTCCTCTATGGGTTGAAGAGCTGCTTCCTCCCTTTCCATTACTGTGCTTTGTTGACATTACACTTGTGTTCACATGGAAGCTTGGTTTGTGAGTGTTTGCAGGACACCTCATTCCCTAACACACACAACACCCCATAATCAACGAAACATACATTTCTAGCCGACTGTTTTGAGATGAAAAGAAACAGAAAAATGCTTACTTGGCAGATACACCATTCCGTCGCATCGTATATCTTGCTATCTTCACAAACATAAGCACGAGGAGCATCTACCTGCAAAAACATAAGAAAATAATCACTCAACACCCACCACATGCCACCTATCTATGATGTGCTCACTTCACATACCTTCTGAAATATCCCAAAAAGGAGCGGTTGGGATGATTGTTCAACCCACCCGTCTCCATCTTTCGCCGGATGGAAGTCTTTACACTCCTTCAAAGTTAAAAAAACCAAATAAGGTAGATGATTGGTTGAATGGATTATAACTAAATACTTAAGTGATGATGATACCTGGCACCATCTGGCTTTAGATTTTGTCTTTTTGGTGTAAAACCACATGTGAAAACTGCTACACTTTTGGCATGCAATTCGCCTAGACTCTCCCAAAGGATCATCCACATGAAACTCCGTGCGTCCAAATAACCCAGACCGTTTATTCTGCAACATAATTTTCAAATATGTTCAATAAACTATCTTGGGTTTAGTAAAATGCAGCTTAAAGCAGCCACTCAATGGCATAGTATACTTGGAGAAAAGCATCACAACCAAAACATCATAGAAATGCAAAGAGTTTCATGCACCTCCAAATTTTACATCACATAAAGAAAAAGAAAAGACATACAAATACATGCGGATGAGGAGGATTGCAATAGCATTTATACCACATAACATTTTAACAAGAGTGAGAGCTAAATGTCCAAATCAACACATTTGCATCTTCTGCCTGTGACAAACATTGGGTAGAAGAGAATTTGCAGAATATGAATAGGAGGCTAAAAAATATACTTGGAAGATCAATCAGTTAAAATAATGAAGTCTAGTATGATGGAGCTAACCCACTGCATACTTTCTTTGTCCTAGCTACAATTCTGACCTTGTACACCATAAGACAGTATTGTCTCGAATAATACTGGTCAATTTTCCTCCCAAACCATGAACTTTAACACAGGGAATTGTAAGCCTTTACACAATTATTGTAACATGTTTAGAAGAGAATGGATTCAGATGTGGCAATGACACTAGTGAAAAGTGAAAAGCGATGACTTGCCTATTTAGTTTATATTGTTAATGTTGACCATAGTTGTCTAACATAGTTATACTGATATGTTGATTTAGGAGCTTTTCCTTACTTTCTCCTCCATTCTTCCTGCACTTGCAATGGCAGGAAAATTTATAATCGTCTCAAAATTTACTTTTGTGTAAAAAAAACTGCAACATTTTCTGTTTTAAAAAGATATCAATCCAAATCCCCACAATGTTGTAGGATAGTAGTGTTCTCTGTGATGTACCAGGGTCTCTTGTATTATGTGGAAGATCCGTGATGTGGGATCATAGGACTCATGTAGTAGAATCTAAAAAGTTCATTAGTCTACATCCTAATAGGATTAGACCCCCCCCCCTCTTAATGAAGGGAAGACCTCTTCATTTTTTTATGTTCAAGAATCAAGAGTTGTGATCAAGAAAACATAAACTCTTCTCTCATTCTGCTTTCTTGAGTTGTGTAGCATCTTTATATATGGTTCTCTTTTAAGGTTGGATGACTGAGCTCAACAAGGACAAAGTGCCGACCCAAACATCCTTGTCTAGTGATTATAAGTAGACTAAGAAACAAAAGATACAACATGATTTGTTCGAAAGCTGATCAGCCAAAGTGGTTTCAGGAGGCTTAATGCACTAGAAAGTAGATCATTCAATTGTCTTTGGTATGTAACGGATTATGTGCTAAACAAGCAAGAAGATTCCTGGGTAAGAGCCAACAAGGTAACAAGTGGCTTACGACACGTGCCATATGCACGTCTACAACTTATACTTGAACATATAAAATATTTTTGTGAAGTACAGGAAATCTATAATATTCAATGACTTCTGTCTTCTTGTGTACTTGATATGGTGAATTGTACATAATACCATAATTTTCCTATATGATTCCAGCAAATGACTGAAATATTTTCTAGGATTAATTTTAAGCTGAGTTTCGTACCTGTGTTAATGTCGGATTTTCCTTTACTTAGACCTTAAAGTTAAACTACTAGCAGAACTGCTTTCCACAAAAACAAGAACAAAAATGCCTCAATATCACCAACCTTAAAGTTATTCTCCACCCCCTTGATCTCAGAATCTCTTACTTTTACTTCTTGGGTTTTGATTTATTCTTTTAAGATCTATACTGCCAACAAAAACAAGTTTTCATCACTTTGAACCACAAACTTGTATTGCTTTGCTAGGTGCTACCATAAACTTTAATGGCAATGAATCCGTTCATGCGTCAATGTTAACTCGTTTCCATCTTCTAGTAAAGTAATAGTAGTATACTTCAACTTCGAACTTCAACTTGGCTTTTTCCAAATTCAAATATTAAATACATATATATATACATATATAACTTCTTTTACATTCTTACACCCTTCTTTCAACCAACTGCGGTAATTCTTGAAGAGTATGATGTCATTATTGATTTTTCCCCATATTTGCTTAAATTCAAATAAGGTTCAAACTCAAAATAGGACAAGTATTTGACAACACAGGAATTGTGCACAATATTCATGATGTGATAATCAACTCTTTTCTTGGGGGAAAAAAGAAAAAATCAGGATCTATGTGTTAAACAACACAAACATAGAAATATAGAGTCAAGCATCAGGAGATTCTGGCAATTGAATAATTATGAGCGAAAGCACAGATTTCAATGCTCCATCTAAGCACCAGAATTCTAGATGTCTGACAAAAGCTTGAATACACTGCATGCAAGGTACACTTCCATGCCTATTAACACAGGGGGGTCAATAAAATGTCTTATATACAAAAATCTTCTTTTTCATCAATAACAAAGCTGCATGCAAGGTACACTTCCTCACCTACTACAAGGGTCTACAAATATATAAAATGTGGTAACAGGCTGGAATGAAGGTCAGATGAAACAAACCACAAAAAAGTGAAAAAGAATAGATAATCAAACCTTTGGAGAAGCATTTTGAAACCTACGGAAATAATTCAGAAGATCCTCCCTTCTCAATTCATCATCATATGCTTTTTGCTTAGAACTATCTAGCAAAACCTTGAGTAAAATAAAGATTTGAACTATAGTCAAGACACTAAAAAATAGGAACACAAAAAGGCATGCATCAAGATGAAATTACATTGTGAGAGAAGTTGGAAACAAGAAAAGGCACCTCGTATGCGTTTTGAAGTTTCTTAAAAGCTTCTGCGGCCTTTTCATTACCCATGTTTTTATCAGGATGGACCATCATTGCCTGACATCAAAATCAAGAGATAGAAAGAGAGTAAATAAATCATCAAGTCCATTCGTTTGTCTATAAGATACACAGCTAAAAGGAAAGTAGCCTATAAATGACATTGGGTCGCAATGGCGTAACCTATAGTATCACCATTGTCTAGTAGGCTTCCACCCATCTCTGAAATAAATGTGTAACCAAGGACAGTAATGTTTTTATATGAACCTTTTTTCTGTATTCGCGCTTGAGAATAGACAGATCTATTTCTTGGAATCTAGACAAACCCAATGCTGAATAGTAATCTGTTGAGTTTAACAATCGAACAACTTCATCTTCAGATGTTAAGCCAGAATCAGACCCACTGGTTGAAGGTACCCCTGGGCTACGGTCAGCTTGTGGATTGGTCCCACCATCAGTGTGTGAAGCATGCGCTTCGTCGCTGTTGAAGACACTTGGTCCACTTTGCATGCCAGCTGTTTGTTCAGGGCCGCTGTTGGATCTCCTTTGCTCATTCATGCTATTCCTCAAGAAGAAAATAAGAGCATCACTTGAGAAAAATGATAGATTCAAAACCAAGATAATACCAAGCCAGCCAACCAGTGTCCATGCACAATATACAGAGTACACAGTCATAATAAACAGTGCAACACGCTCATGGCTAAACGTGAATGCCACCCCTGCATATTACAGAATTGATGACATCAATACCAAAAACATAAAAAGATTCCGCACAAAAACATTGTTATACATGTTAATTCAAGTGTCAAAAGGCTCACCACCAAACAGGACAACAATTAAAGTTGTCCAAAAGCTTCCATACAACCACAAAAAAACAATTCCAGAAACAGCAAGCAACAGAAGACCAATGGTGAACCCTACAAAAAGTGCCACCAAAGCAACTATAGCCTACAAAAACCATAAAAGTCAATTAATACAGGATCCAGAATACATGTGCAAACCTGAGAAAATAAGAGAGAATAATACATTTTTCCTCCTCACCCAAAAGCTAGAGAAGTTATAACTTTTTTTAAAATAATCTTTGAATAGAAGTATCTCCAATGTAACAAGGACCGTCATTATACATTGGAGTGTCTGGCACGGCCGTATACGAGTAGAACACAGCTGTGATATGTGTCTAACATGGCTCTCTTACATGTCTCGCATGTACTGATAAGTGTCTAGCATGGCAGATATGTATAAAGAGTTCTTATTATCTCCTTGTAATTTAAAACATCATGGCATGGCACTGACATATCCCAATCCTTGAAATCGTTAATTTTCTAAAATAGAAACAAAGGCTTTAAAAGTTTAAATGCATAAGTAGAAGGTAAAATCCAAATTTATCAACAAAGTATGGGCTTAGTACATACACATAGGTAGTTTTTGAAGGACATATTTTGATGATTCTTTTCTAATAGCAACCTAGCACTTAGTCGCTCTAAGTAATCCTTCTAAAATTCATGCATATTTAATAACTCTAATACTCACACCGTTAGGTGACCAATATCTATTGTACATGTTCATTATTTTCTATTAAGATAGAATAAAGTTTGAGCATAATGGTGATAACAATAACATATAAATGAAACTCTTGTGTGTGAGTGTGTATGTATAATATATTCAATGTTCATGCCCTGGTCATCTTGATATCTGAACTTTTTAAGACATGCCTAGTCACAATGCCAGCATATTGGTGTCGTTACTACATAGATTTGCTCATGTGGCTGTACGAGAAGCCACCACCAAAAGAAATAGTAAAGTACATGGTAAGAAATCCAGCTTTTGGTCTAAATAAGCTATTATTGAAACAAACTCTTAAAACACAAATACAAAGACACCTTACAAGCAAAGAATCTGTAAAAGACTTCAAATGTCTTGTATACATTTGAAATATCAGATGATTCAAACAAACTATATTAAAAAAAATAATACTTCGGAACGAAGATAAGTTGCATATAGAGAAGCTGCAAAAGGATAAAGTAGGCTTACCCCAATAGTGACAAATTTGAGCATTCCAATCATTGCAACCACCGAAAAGATGCTGCACCAAATAACTGTGAAAAATGATGTTGTCCCCATGCGTATAACAGAATCTATACCTCTAAGAGTGCAATCCAACCAAACCATTGAAAGGATAAGCAATATGTTGRTGAAATGTGTAAGCCACCTCAAGATAATCGGGTAAGCATGCTTGATTTTCATTCTAACATAATCACGAGAGATTATTATCTTGGTTACTAAAATATCAATCAAAGGCTTGTGTCTRTCCAACCATTCAGTTGAGACCTGTGAGACAGRCAACACAAAMGTCTTCAAATACCTAACACCCAAGGCTTCTGGAAGCTCTACACTTTCACGTAGACCATCCCGATCGAATCCATTTAAAGAGTGGCCAGAACTAGTTTTTCGGTTCTTTGATCCAGAACTACCACTAGCTGAMGCCCACTTCTCTTCTTCCAAACAAGAACTTCCARTTGYTGACATGTTAGCACTGGAATCTTCAGAAGTACTGTCACGTGGTTCTGCTTGCTCTACAGCAGATGTCCTGGTTGTACCTTGAATCTCTACTTTAATTTGTTTTCCAGATTTGCTTGTTCTTTTCTTCTCATCTTTAACATGATCTTGTTTGTGAAGGGACTCGGTCACAGATATGCTTGGTTGAGTATCACTTGAAAGTTCTTCCCTTTTCACATCCTTCATGTTGCCTACACTCCCCTTTCCTTTTCTATTAGGTGTTGCCGACCCTGATTGGATACCTCCTTTTTTGTCGTTTGCTGTGCTTCTGTCCAAACCATTCTTCTGTTGGTTTCCTTTACGAGCCATTGATTATGAAACGATAAGCCAGTTTCTAAACAGAGATAAAGCAAATCAAATTCTAATTGCTTTCTGTCATCCCAGTCATGAAAAGCAGATTCACAAACAATTCAACCTGTAGATATAAACTGTCATATAGTCTGGGTAGGCACATGAGAAATACAGAAGTGGATCAGTTATGCCAAATGCACATCACAACAATAACATAAACAAATAAAGCCACCAACAGTAAGGGGCTGTTTGGTTTGGGAGGGTTTTTTCATAGATAGTTTGGGATGGTTTTTGTTTGGGAGGGTTTTTTCAGAGACAGTTTTTTAATTGAAGCGGGCTGGTTTGGAAAAAAGCTTGGCTTTCTGCATAAAGCACCCCTTTAGAAGCTCACTGAATAAGCCACTACCAAACAGTCATGCATAGCTGACCGAATAAGTTGCAAGTCCGATTAAGCTTCTAACAAACATGGCCTAAGTCAGTAACAAAATGCTAAGCATAACAATTGTCCCCACATAAAATTTGTATAAGATGTTAGATTTTAGTTCCTCTAATCCAAACAATGTAACATAATATGTGCACTAACCCAGGAAAATCACAAAACTGAAGTCGCTGCAAGCAAACAGCCCGATGTTGTCTTCATAAAATGGAAGTGAAAATCTATAAAAAGTGACAAGTTGTCTAACTTCAGAGAAGGGAAACAAAATTACAAAGTTCTTACAAGATTGCAACCAGCAAATGCTGGATTAGAAGAAACAAAATTGATACTCCAAAAGAACCACTTATCCCCCATAAAGATAGAATGGAAAGAGAAAAAAGAAAAGGCTGGTCAAGATGCACTTATCAAGACAAGAACAATGGTACATGTTAGAATGAGAGGTGGAGATACAAATACAAACATCACTAAACTCTTGCACAGTTACTACTAAACCAACTCTTTACAAAATTGGGATATGCTGAGACAGAGCTCCAATAAGGGCCTATGAGTTGTGTTATGGCTGTTGAGTTATTTAATAGAGAGAAAATTGCTCATCTTATACTTAGTTTTCTCTGAACGTACAACTCAAGTTGATTTTACATTTACATGTTATGATATATTCTGTAAAAATACAACTCCCACATCATAATAGCTGTTAGCCAAGCTTTTATCCAAATGCTAAATCTATCTCAACACCAAGGACATCTCACAACACAAGAAGAATATGCGAGAAAAATATTGAAAGCAACTCTATCAAAGAGCTACCGGAATACAATATGAGGGGCATTAATGTTTCTAGAATTTTTGTTCACTTTACAAACTGGTCACTATATATTGTATCTGATAGTGATAATAACATGAGTTATAATAATACCCACACCTGCAATTGCCAACCTTATATCCATAGGTACACCTCTCTTTGATATTCCACCCTTATTTCTTCTCTAAAACAGGGTTCCTTACCAGAACAGACTTACGTCACCACGTCTGGAAGTACCCCATACCCAGTTCCAAGCTAGAACAGACAAATGTCACCACGTCTGGGGGAACTACTTCTTAAAACAAAGTTTTATTCCAGAACAGACTTACGTCACCATGTCTGGAAGAAACATTTCCCAAAATATAGTTTCAAACCCGAACAGACTTACGTCACCATGTTTGGAAGAAACATTTCCCAAAATATAGTTTCAAACCAGAACAGACTTACGTCACCACGTCTGGAAGGAACATTTTCCAAAATATAGTTTCAAACCAGAACAGACTTATGTCACCGCGTACGGAAGAAACATTTAATATCTTTTCTACTTTAAAAGATATAAAATACCCCTCTTCACAATATAACAGATTAAACAGAAATTGTGAAATATCCCATTTATCAACACTCAAGTTCATCAATAACCATATTAAGTTAACTCACATCCGGACAAGTCTATCCGGACAACACATGTTCGGACAACACTTAGCCGGACACTCATACCCGGACGATCCTTAACTATTAAAAAATCATCATATCCGGACGCGCACTCTCTCCGGACATCAGAAAGATTCTTAACTCGACCGGATATACTCTTATCGGACAACAAGAGTCCGGGTTTAATTTCTCATCGTTCAACACAATGATCGTACTTGCCCTCACTGAACAAACTGTGTCCGGACACAAATTCCATAATATACAAATCCGGTGAAATGTTCCATACGGTCAATGAAGATTATCAAGAATAGATGCAGTATCTTCAATACATTAACATCTCAAGGCTATAAATCAGTAATCATATGCAAAGGCTATTTTTGAATAAACACTCACCTTTGTAGATTCAGATTTTGAGGATGAAATTAGCAAATATGGATCAACTTGATTCTTACTTCAGTTAGCAAAGAAAACCCACATAAATTCTCTCTCTCTCAATTGCTTTCTAAGAAAGGCAAGAAACCTCCTTTCTCCCTAACACTCACTTTATATACCTTTCCATAAATGGGAAGGTGGTTAATCATGCAAAGACCTTTATGCATGTATATAAAATATGCATATAAACCACAAGGGTGGTGCCTGATTGGTTTGAGCTTGGCTCCAAAGGTCAAAAGTACCCGGAGGTCCCAGTTTCAAATCCTAGGAGGAATAAAAGTTCCCTTGTAGCCACGGAGGTTCAAATGCGGTGACTCCGGGCTATCTGCAAAGCACGTGGTCGCCCTGGGATTAGTCTGCTCGCATAGCGGGTTGGATATCCAAGTTAATAAAAAAAAAGCATATAAACACATGCATTCACACAAATTTCAGAATTCCCATGCATACTTTCCTTTTATGCATACAATACTTCATGCATATTCTATTACTATTGCATGCATGATAACATACACACACTACACATTAATCTCATGTAAGCATGTATCCAGATGATTAATTATAACAATTAGTCAAATATTCACGTAATCACATCAAATAATCACATAATAATTACCTCAGAGGGTGCCTCCGCTATAAAAAAGACGGGATTCTGGTAGTATGGGAGCATCTGAAAACTTGTAAAAAACTTGCTTGGAGATTTTAACATGTCTAAGAGTTTGATGCAGTCAATAATCATTCAATATTGTCCCAAAATTCCAACTCGTGTCTTTTGTTGAGACAACTCAACAGATTTTTTGGTTGAATTAATAATACATGAACATAGGCGTACTGGACAAAATAAGGTATACAAGATTCTAAACTTTTCTTTGTATTCAAGTGCAAATAATCTCAACACTATAAATATAATGACAAAGGTTAAATGGAGGAGGAAAATGATTAAAACATGGCGGGCACCTATAGGGGTGTAACCCTGAACCATGGAACCAACGGAACTGAACCAAATTGAATCGGTTTTTGGGTATTGGATGAAAATCCTGTTTCTTCTGCCTTTGCAACAATTAACTTCTTTTCTTTCGAGTCCATTTAGTTTTCTTCACACACTGCTTGTACACACTTTGGTGAGTGAAGTATTCAAAATGATACATACTTAAGATTCTGTTTGTTTGACAGTTGTGGAAGAATTCTTCTTTATCTCGTAATAATAGAAATGAGATTTCTAACTTATTAGCTATAACGTTTTTGTTTTGAGTTCCCTCGGCATGTATTGTTATAATACATGCTTATTTTTTAACTATTAAAACAACATGAAGGCTAATCTCGTTAATGTTTTGGGTTGTTGATAAGGCGCAAGCTTTTCTTATCATGCATCCTCCTACACAGTTGAGTCAAGGGCAAGGGTGATTATGTTTGATGTTGCTGGATTTGAAGGCAGTAGAACCCTTCAGAGGAGGACATCTTCATTAATATCACATGGCGATGATAACCCTGTGAGATCCCCAAGTGGAGACCATGCTGGTCTAATGAGTTGGCCCCAACGCCATATTAAGTCTTTCCAACATCTTGAACATCCCAGTGGCAACATAAACAACTTTTCTGCCCGAGCAATGCAACTAAGCATGTATGGCAGCATGGTATGTTCATTGTTTCCCTTCTAAAAGTTTTAAATAATCTTGTTATATATATATATATATATATATATATATATATATATATAGGGTTAGGTTTGAGGGAAAACCGCAAAAAAATGAAAAATTGAGTAACACCTTGGTAACTGTTCATCTAGGGGCCAATTTGTTCGGTATGCAAACATGTGCATAAAAACCAAAAAACAACTTCAGTTACTTATATGCACATGTGCATATTGTTTAGAAGGGTGTTTCTCAGTTTTTCATTTTTTTCGTGATTTTCCCCTTAACCTCCCTCTATATGTATATATATATATATATATATATAGAGAGAGAGAGAGAGAGAGAGAGAGTTAGATTCATACAAGAATAATATCTATTTAGAAGAATAGGAGAATAATTTTGTGTCAATCATTTCATTAAATAATTAATTATAAAAATAAATTAAATAAAGGGTATAAAACTAATTTAGTTATTTATTTAAAATTCTACTTTTACCTTATTTATGATTTTAATATGATTTAATTTTTTTATTTAAAAAATGTTTCAAATTTATGCATTTAAAATAAGCGTATTTAATTTTCATTTAAAAAATTCAATTTTTTATTTAAAACAAGAATTTTAAAAATTACAATTTTCGTCAAAATCACATGTGATTCATAATTAATTATTTTTTCAAAACATGTTTCCAATCATATGTGATTTAAATTTTCAAACGAATAATTCAAACTAACATTGAAAAAGAAAAAATAATGAAAACAAAATCAAATGTGAAGAGTAGCAAAAAACACATTAAAAATGTATAAGATAAATGTACTTAAAAACGTAATTCATAATTTGCATATATCACAAGTAATGTTGTAGATAACATACATTCCTTTTCTACTAAATCACGAAAATTAATCATGCTTAAATCACGAAAATTATAAAAAAAAAGTCATGAATAAATACGTTAATTAAATTTATTATATAATCTTTATAAAATGAATTTCTATATATAATCTGTATACAACAAATTACATATGCCCTTTAAGAAAGTTTTGTTTAATGAAATGGTTGGCGTATAATTATTCTCTTAAATAGGTACCATTTTCGTATGAACCCGACTCTCTCTCTCTCTCTCTCTCTCTCTCTATATATATATATATATATATATATATATCAAAATGCTAAGAATAGTTCCCATTTAGTGTAACAAATAATCTTTCTTTTCAATGAGGGTAACAAANTTGGGTTGGGTTGAACTTTTGTTTGGGTTGGGTTGGGTTGAAAATTTTCAAACCGCCAACATTGGGTTGGGTTACTAAAACGGCTCCAAACCGATCAACCCGGGCCGTGAGCACCCCTAGTTATGGCTGTTGAGTTATTTAAGAGAGAGAAAATTGCTCATCTTATACTTAGTTTTCTCTGAACATACAACTCAAGTCGATCTTACATTTACATG